TGATTGGTCGTGCTGATATGCAAGGCCGGAAGTCTTGTGTAACCATCGTTTCCATATTCGGGACGTTCTTACCTGTTATCTAACACCCAATCTCGGACACTCGAAAATTCTCCGATTATGTGATGTAAATGACGTAAGTATGCACGCTTTTTAAGTAACCAATATAAATAAAGTAAGATCAAATTACACCCCTTTTATCTTAAGAAAAAAATGAATACCATTAAGATAGATGAACGTATCTTCAATTTTAAGTCCATAGAACGTTATTCGAATCATGCCGAAGCGCTAGAATTACTGAAAAAGTTGGCTTCTCATGTACTGTATGATGGGATTTCCTAATTTTTCTTATATAATAATCATATGGCTAATATGGCTAATATAATCTATAGGTGAAGCCTATAATGCAAAAACATAATTGGAAAGTAGGGGTTTTAGAAGAATTTTTTCCTGGAGATCAGAGGCTACTTGGTACGTTTCGATTGTAGTTGTGAAAATGTGTAAATTTGGACTTAAACCACTTTTTTTTTTAGGAATTAATATAAATCGTGGCGAAAAAATATGTATACGATTACGTCCTCATTATGACGAAAGTCGATTTATCGATTTCAATGATCTCATCGGGACACTGTTGCATGAGTATGTGATCTTTATTAATCTATATTTCTATAATTATTCCATCATAACCTCATTTTACTTTATTTTAGGTTAACGCATAACAAATATGGACCACACGATGCAGCGTTCTACAAACAACTTGATGAACTACATGACGAATACGATGAATTACTCATCAAAGGCCAAGGCGGTGAGGGATTTTATGGAAAGGGCTATAAACCTGGCCAAGGAGGATCACACAATGACACACCAGCCATGGCCAGACAAAAAGCATTGAAAGCCGCAGAGTTGAGGAAAATAATGACACATGGTGGTATAAAATTAGGTGGAGTTGGTTGGGAACATCATGGTGTTCCAATGAGAGAATTAACTGCTGTTGCGGCTGAAAGGAGAAAAAATGACATGGTTTGGTGTGGTAGTGAACGAATTGGTAATAGCAATGGAGAAAGTAATAGCGGTAATAATGTCGCAAAAATACCATACAGTGGAAGTTCATCTGCAGTTCGGATTCCGGCTGATAAAATTCCTGGAATAAACAACACGTCATGGAGTTGTCCAAAATGCACATTTAAAAATAAGCCGTTGGCGCTACAATGTGAGATTTGTTTGAACATAAAGCCAGATACGAATCAACAATCACAGGATTTCTTACCTATTGATTTGTTAAATCCACAGTGGGATTGTCCAAGATGTACATATAAAAACGAAGGTGATGTGATTATGTGTATAGCATGTGACTACTTAAAAAGTTAGTTATTTCTATATTATATAGATGATCATATTGGGATATATGTTACAAATATTTTATAACTTTTAGGATGATGGATTTTTTGCATATATAAATTAGTTATTTCTTAGCTATTATGGGATATAAATAATAATAAATAATATTATTACAAATACTGTATTTTATAAACTCTTAATATAATAGGTTTTGGTAAGGTTTTGAAGCAATAAAAATTAAAAGTATATACTAGTATATAAAGTATCTATATATTTACAGTGCTGGAGGAAAATTATGACACTTTGCCAAATATAAAAATTTTTTAAAAATTGATTAAAAAAATTTAAAATTATATATATGTATTCTTTAAAATATGGGCGTTAGTTTATGGCGACCCTATATTAATAGCCAATCAAAATTGAGCATGTAACTATATAATACTGTATATTGCTTATTATCGCCCAATAAAAATTTTTTACAAATTTTATAACTTTTATAATAAAAAAATAAAAAGAAAATTTTCTAACCCTAAATATGATTGGCTGCTATATGTAGGGTCGCAATGGAGACAGGTCTCTATTGTCTTTTTGCCTTAAAATATAATTAAAAAAAAAAAAAAAAATTGATAAAAAATTAAATTTCAATTTTTAAAATAATAAAAAAATTAAGTCAAAATTTTGTCCTAAAAATCTTAATAGTAAAATTTAAGTTAAATTTTAGATTTATTTTTATGGGCGAATCTATTTGTCGTCGGTGGTGACAGTACCGGGTTGCAATTGGCCAATCACATCACAGGATCAGGTGTAACGTTTGTGTAACCTGAAAACGAAGGAAACATTGAAATTTTTCAAAAATTCGCTATAGCTCAAAATTTTACCTAAACCTATTATATTAAGAGTTTATAAAATACAGTATTTGTAATAATATTAT